TCCCACCGCCCTTGGCTGAAGTTGGTCGTCCGACGACCCCGCCACTCGCAAGCCGAAAGGAAGCCGAAATTTCCGGCTGGATTTTCCAATAGTGGCCTTGTTGCAGAGGATCATCGAATATGTTTTTTTCGAGTAGATCTGGTAATTTTTGTCTTCGCCATTGAAGGAGAGGTTGTCTGCAGAGATAGAGAATTGAACGTGGGGCGGTGGGAGAGAGAGAGGATATATATTGGTCCAATTATTTTGGTAAGTATATATTTAATCTCAATTAATGATCTCAATTGCTTTAATTTGCCACAAAATCCTCAACATACGGTTACATTATTAGTCCACATCTTGGGTAAAATTGTAATATTTTTTGCTTGATTTAGTATTGTTATAAATAAAAATATAATGGTTAATATATGTAATATAAATCATATTTGAAGGTGCAGGGTGTAATTTCTTCTACATTTTTTCATACATTTTTTCTTGATAATTGGGCCAAGCCTTCAATACCTATTTTGGGCTTGAAAGATTGACAAGTATATGAGGTCCAGCCCGCCATTTTCATGCAGAGCCCACTCATTTCCTTCATATTTCCACTCAATATCAAATTACATATATTGTGAAAAAAAAACGTGAATAAAAAGAAAAATCTTAATTCATTCAAGACACATTATTTTTATAATATTAACATAATAATTAATTTATTTTAAAATTATATTTTCTTAGAAATACTATAACCAGTAGCCGATGTAAAATTTGCCAATTCACATTCCATAACTAATAATTGAATTTATATTAAATATTAGAAAATAAAATCATGTAAATAAGGCATTTAGGTTATATATCAACTTTTTTTTTTTATTTAATACTTTTATTTTTTCTGGTGTATGATGTTTGGTACTAGGTTGTCTGCCACAAGAGTAGCATAACAAATCTTTCTTGATTGTATAAATTTAATCAATAAAACAATATTACTAAATGTTAAAGCCAGCTATGTCTATTTTTAAATATGAACAAAAAAAATGTAGTGCAACTGAATTGTAGAATAAGTGTATAATAAAGTGTTTTGGGACTCACCATAACTTATAGTTTCTAGTTTATTTAGTTTGCTTATGATTTCTTTGGTTTTTTTATGATGAAGTTTTTTACAATGGAGTTCATCGAGTAAGCTTATTAGGTGGATTATTTAAAAAAATATAGCAGAAATTACTTAGTTTTCGAGAACCCATTATTTTTTTTTTTGATACAATGGATAGGCCAAAGCCTATAGGTTTAGTTGCACACGGCCCGCGTATAAGCTACGCCAAGGAGGTCATGATGGAGCCACTGACGAACCCCATTCGGTGGAACATGTAGGACTTGATATCCCATCACTCCATCCGTTGCGAAGGAAGCCAAATAGTCGGCTGCGAAATTCGCCTCACGGAAGATATGTGTCACTTTAACATTCCAAGGTCGGCCGAGTAATTCTTGTATGCCCAAAATTAGACTTGTGCTCACTCCCGGATCAACCTCCGAACACCTAGTAAATCTCACTACACTTTCATTATCTACTTCCGCTTCTACTCGCCGGAACCCTAAGTCCCAAGCCAACGCGAGACCCCTATATAAGCCCCATAATTCCGCCGCCATAATCGAGCAAGCCCCGAGTTTCACTGTAAATCCCCCTTTCCAGTTCCCATGCTCATCTCTTATAAGTCCACCCGCCGTCCCAAGCCCCGTCTGCGTACTAAAGGAGCCATCGGAGTTCATTTTCACCCACCCCTCCGGTGGTTTCTCCCACCTTATCCAGCGCTTCGTTTGCATATGGCCCGACCCCCCAAGTTTCCTATCATTCGCAGTGAACCTTTCCAGGCCCTCAACATAGGTCGCAATTTCTCGCACTCCTTCGATTCCTGTTCGCTTTTTTCCTTGGAAAATGAACTCATTTCTCCATTTCCATAGCTTCCATGTAGCCACTCCAAATATGCAGGCCCAATTCGGTCCTCTTACAGCCGGTGGGTTCAACAGGTTCGAGGAAACCCATGTTACTTGGTCCATGGAAAAAAAATCGGAGGAAGCTGATCTTGGCAGCAGGCCTCTCCAAACCTCGGCAGCCAATGAGCAGTCCCGCAATGCATGTAGGATCGTCTCGTCGGATTGTCCGCATATTGCACAAAGCCCATCTGCCGTCAAGTGTCTTCGTCTTCTCTCTACGTTAGTAAGCAATCTATTTTTCGTGAGCAGCCAGAGAAATATTCTAATACGCTGAGGTCCGGGCAATTGACATACCTCACGCCATACAGGTTTTAGTGCCGAGTTTGTTTCCGACGTACCGTCTGCAGCCAACATGTCGTACGCGGACTTGGTCGTGAATTTTCC